GTATCTGCATCCTCGCCGGGCGTAGGACGTTCCACGGCCACGATGAATGGCAGTCGGTATTTCTTGACATCTGCGATGCGGTTCCGGACGATTTCCTCACTTATTACCCCGATATCTAAGCTCATTGGGGAGTTTTCGGAAAACCAGCTAAAAATGCGCGCAAGCTGCTCAACATCGCTGTCTGCGACTGGGCGCAGGTACAAATCTTGTCTCGTCTCTCCGGGCTTCGGGTAACGCTTGTAGAACTCGACGTCGGCTAGCCAGCGCTCATGAGCTAGACGTGCTTCCACTTCCCTATCTTCTTTGATCCGGGCCAGCCTATTGTCAACATATCCCTGGCTAGTCTCATGTTGATGCAGACGTCCTTCCTCGTCGGTGGGGTCAGGCCAAGTCCAATCATACGACCAATTTGGTTTGTACATCTCGTGTGTACCGTCTGGCAAAGCCTGCCCGGTGAAAAATGCCTCGCGGTGGACATCTACCACGCGAGATGAGTCAAGCGCTCTCTGTAGCCAAGACTCAAAAGAGCGCCGCCACTGTGGCTGGTCGGCGTCTACTCGAGGGGCATAGTCCCAGCGCGCAAGCAACAACTGGGAGTCATCAAAAGACACCGGAACTACCTTGTCGCGCTTGGAATTCTTCTCCTTCAATGCTTTCTGTTCCTCGCTGGGCTCTGATGTCAAAATAATTTTGCCTTCAACCAGTCTAGGGTAGGTCGACTCGGACTCTCTGTATGGGGGGAACTGCGCCGCAAACTGAGCTTTGAAAACCGGATCGTCCCTAGTGATGCCGGAGCGCCAAGCCTTCTCTCCTGTCTCCTCTTCTTCTACGAGTGAAGCGGGATCAACTGGGGGTGGCGCTGAAGGTCTGAGATCCGCCTCAATCCTACCGGCACCGCGTCGTTGCATGAGAAACTTGTACCGAGCGGATTCAGGGTCTGTTCCTGGTCCATTCCTCCACTCGGCAAGCAACTCGGGGCTAGCTACCTGCTCGTGATCGTCGATGCGATCTAGGTTTAGATGTGCCTTTAGGACAATTTCATCTTGCAGGCGTTTGAGCTCGGCTCTCACATCGGACGGTGCGCGTGGAGGCGCTTCATATTCGGAAGTCTCGGGTGTCATCTTATCAGGCTCACTATTCTTTTGGTCGCCGTCCCACCAGGAGCTGGCTTGTGGTGCATCGGATGGACTTCTGATTGCACGTTTGCCTTTTGTCATAGAAGGTGGTGTGGTTCGACTGCCCCTTGTCGGCTTTTTTCCCTTATTCTTCTGACTGGCCATCCTGCTTTGGGATGACTTTGTTTCTCAGTCTCTGTGGGAAGGGCGCAATGTTAGCCTGCTTGCTATATGAATCATGAGCCAGAAGGACTCGATGGGTTGGACATTTACCTAGGTGCGCGAAAGCCTTTTGTTCAGTGTCCTAGTCAATGAGTCACTGTGGATGGCTATGAGAGATAACGGCTCATGTGTTTGAAGTATGAGAGGTGAGTGACGCGACTAATGAAGGCAAGGAACTCACTTTTAAAAGTCACGGGTCTGTGGTTTCTGCGATCACTGCTGGGAATAGTTCTATCTTGTTTCCATTTCAACTCAAGTCAATAGAGTAAGGAGATACAGATGATGAAGACGAATGCTTACTCTGAAAAGACGGATCCTTGTTTCAAAAGACACGAGACGCTATGTCTTCTAAAGCGTTATTGCAGGATGTGACCATGGAGAAGGAAAGACTTTGTTTGAATAAAGAGGTGTATCACTCTATCTCCTATTGAATAATGAAAATATCCAAAGATAATGCATGTCACTCTTCAGGTATAGAAAAGGAAGGATAGATGGTGAACTTGGAAGATCTCTTACAAGTTTTTGAAAAATGAAGAAGAGGACGGAAGGAGTCGACGGTTGATCTGTCAGTCTGTGTGGTTTGCAAACTAACATGGTAAGATAGTCTTGTTGCAGAGAATCTCTCCTTCTTTCTGCCTTTCTGTCTCTCTCTGATCATGGCATGCAAGATAAGTTGTTCTAAAGCTATCTTATGCAAATTTCAGTGTGGGCTAGGTGTCACTGCTGAATTCTAGCTGGGAGTCACGTGTTACAACGCTCTACTCACTGGTTGGGAAAAACTCAGTCTGCAGTATCAGAAGCGGGGACTGGTCCATAATGCAGAAAAGAGAAATATATAAGATTCGTCTTGATCTGGAGTGAACTTTGCCCAGACACTGAACTTCCTGCTCTGTTGGATTCCCGCTCTGGGGGTAATGTGAATAACTTCATCACCGGCTCGGCAAACATATTCAAATCGGATAATGATTGATGGATTCCTGTCTTGCTAGGCTGCATTCTCGTCACCTTGCTTTTGTGTCGTAGGATCTTGCGACGAATGATCATGACGTTGGTCTGTCTCGGTTCTCTGAGTACGGGCCTCGATCGCATACTTATAACTGAATATGAGATTTTTGGTGCTATGACTACGCAAATAGTAGCTCAAATATTCAGCTATGTGAAGCGCATATTCAAGTCCGCTGTCGGGCCAACTGTGAACTTCTACACAGCGTATCTCGGAGTCTGGGGTAGGGAAATGCGAAGCTCGGTACAGAAAAACAGCCCTGAACTGATAGTATAAAACCAGGATGAGATTATGATACATCATTTATTTTCTCTCAGAAAGGTCTGCAACGGCTATTGCCCTTGTAGGAGGTTATGCATTGGGAATCTTTTTATTTTGACTCTAGAAACGTAACAATATAGATTGCTGGTCACGTGCAGCTTTATATCGGTAAGAGCAATAGCTAATAGGTATTGATCTGACATATCTAGAACTTATTGATGGTTGTTGTCGAGTTTCTGATGTTGATTAGAGGGAACTATAAAATTGGTTTGGGTGGTGCAGGTGTGCTGCCAATGTATTATTATGTACCAAGTATGGCAGAGTTGTGTGCTCGCCTACTAGTTATCTTATACAACAACTTCGTCCAACCCGTGCATACAACTTCCAACACCCCCCAAAATCCATAGGAAGACACGCCGAATCACCGATCAAGCAGACAACCCGCCAAGATGTTGTCTATTCTACGCAAAGCCCGGCTGAAGGACAAGGAGATGCGGATTCTTATGCTGTAGGCTGTCGAACACTCCCACAATAACAATCTATGCGATGCTAACGCGCGAACACCACCACCCCAGCGGTCTCGACAACGCCGGCAAGACGACCATCGTCAAACAAGTCATGAAAGAAGATGTCACCACCGTCAGTCCAACGTTGGGCTTCATCATTAAGACCATCGAATTCCAAGGGTAAATCTCGTTCATTTTTACAAAGCTCGCCAGCAAAGAAAGCCTGATAGCTGACACCCCGAGGGGGGAGAAAAGATACCGTCTCAACATTTGTGAGGCTTCTGCCGCTCCGTCCTACCTTTTTTCCGCCGACTAACCTAAGGTACTCCAGGGGACGTCGGAGGCCAGAAAACGCTTCGTTCTTATTGGAAGAATTATTTTGAAAAGACCGATACCCTGGTCTGGGTTGTTGATGCGACCGACCGCCTTCGCGTGGAGGATTGTCGAACCGAACTGGCGGGGTTGCTTTTGGAAGAGGTACCCTTTTTTCGTTTTTTGTTTCCCCGCGGCCTCCTTCTGAGGCGGCATAGGCTGACTGATCTTCGCATACAGCGGTTGATGGGGGCGAGTCTGTTAGTTTTTCTCAATAAAACTGATGTTGATGGGTGTATGACTGAGGAAGAGGTTCGTGAGGTGAGTTTTTTCTCCTACCCAACTTCATTGCTCTTTCCCGACCGGTTTACGTTCGGGGTCCCTTCTTTGACTGAGAACGCGATACAGCGATTGAGCTTGGACTCTATCAAGACACACAAATGGACGATATTGCCGTGCAGTGCAATGACAGGAAGAAATCTACACGAGGGGTTGGAATGGGTGGTGCAAGATGCCAAGGATCGACTTTTCTTATACTAGGTTAGCTAGCTAGATTGCCTAATTGCACTCCGCCGATGATTGCGATAGGAAAATGCCCTCGATCTTTAATTCCAGATAATGCCGTGAGTACTACCGCTTCAACTAGCTTACCGAGATTACAGCAAACCAGTGTGATCCCTTATTTACGCGCCGGCTCTATCCAGAAAGGCACGAGATGAGGCTCACCAGCTGCAATCTCCGGGTGGCAGCCTGATATATTTCTCTGACCCTCCCGCGCGGCAGCGATGCCCGACCACGGTTGGGCTTATTGGTTGGCCCCTCTCGCCCTGGACATCACTGACCCTGCAGAGAAAAGAGGATTTTGAATTCGAAATGACATGCAGCCCTAGCTTCCATGTACAACGGGATGGAGCATTAGCGAGGACATCCTAGACAGGGGTTTGACTTTTGTGTGTGCGTATATTGCGGCTCCCTTGCTCGGGGCCGATTCAGTGTGGCCTTGTCGGGAGTTTCGGATGGACGATCAAACACTCGTCGGCTCTGTCAGGGTCCACGGTCTTGAATGGACCTTTATCGAACAAGGTAAAGGGCCAAGTTTTGCTGGAAATAGCAGAGTGGGAACCAGTGGTGATTGACCGTGTGTACTTAACTAACTTAGTGTATCTTACGTCAATGAATGATGGGGCAGTAGCGGTTTGGTTTGCCCGGCAGACTTTCGCTTGGAGCGAGCCGCCGCTGCAGCTGCAGCCTTGGAATGCCGGCCGCGTCAGTGTCAGAAAATCCTTGAACCATCGTAGATTTATCCATGGATCTGGGTTTCGAGGGCCCCCATCCGGACCACTGACGACACGGGGAGAAGCAAGATCGGAATCGAGATTCAGGGATAATGGCTGCCCCAAGGTGTCCTGGACCTTCTTCTCTCGTCGCGGCTACTTAGCAAGTACGTACTGTACTGTACGTATGTCTTCCGTACAATAACCGGATTGCAGACTTCTTGAGTGAATGGAGGGTGCGCTTTGAGGGTGGGTGTGCTCCACCGCGAAGACCCGAACTCGGGAACAAGTAAACAATCTTCCGTGTCGAGAAAGATCAAAACACCAAACGTGTTGACTTTGGTAGAACAAGAAAGAGATTAAAGGCTCGAGAAAGTCCCTTGAAAGTCCCCTGAACGACAAAGTATCATTAGCATAATGGGTTGTTTCCCTTGGGAATAGGAGAACTGTGATTATAATAAGTACTGATGTGCATGCATCCTGTCTCTCATGCGCCTCACCAGCTAAAACAGTTGTGGGGCGACAGCAGCTGATGGGCGTCGGGCTTCCTTCTCTGATGAGGATGATGCTGCTGATGCTGATGCTGATGTTGTTGTTGTTGATGGAATGGGCTTCCCAGCTGTTGTTTGGGTCCACCAAGTCGAGTGATAAGGCAGGCGTCTAACTGACAAATCTCACTAGTACTCATTTCCAGGTGAGGAATTAGTAGCGGAGAGACCCCCAAGTGGGTAGATGGACGAGGAGAGAGTGAAGTTAGTATTAACGTTAGTAGAGTACTCCGTAGTTCATTCCTCGTCGGATGCGAATCGATCTTCGCCTCAGGGCGGCGAGCCGCGAGCCACGGGGGTTTCTTTTCCCTTGATTCCCTCCTCCCTCATCCACCTCTTTCTCCCCTTCTCTTCGACCCTCACAGACTCACGAGTCACGACCACAATTGATTGCCCAATTAGTATTCCAGCCCCCTTCTTCTTCTTTTACCGCACGATCTTTCCCCTCCTGATCGCCTCGCACGAAAAACCCCACCGTCCTTAGCTCGTTGCCCGGTGTTAGTTCAGTTTGGAAGAAACCTCTCTTTCTAGCGGACACTTTGACCCTCTGCCCTCTTTTTCTTCTCTCAAGCTACCTTCCTTCTGATCTTGGCCGGTCATATCTGGCATTTAGCGAGCCATGGCTCCTACAGCAGACATCGACAGCTCGGAAGATGTCAATGACTTTCTTCTGCGCATTCGGGAACTAGGAGAGAAGCGCGATAAGGAGGATGAGGAACGCACGAAAAAGTTGGAGGAGGAGATTTTGCAGGGGCGCAAAGAGAGACAGGCCCGAAGAGCTGGTAAGTAATCTCTTTCCTTGATAATTATGTCTATTCCCTCTCTTCATTGTTTTCCATGCGCCGCCGTCTAGATTCGCAAATCTGAACACTGATTGTGCATGGTCCTCACACAGAGCGGGCGCGTTCGATTTCTCCCACAAAAGATTCCCCCATTCTTGATGCGGCTCGGTTGAGCATATCCTCGACTCTCAGCCACCGTGCGATCGAACCTCCCGAACAATTTGGACCATCTCTCCATACCCCGAGTCGGGACTCGGACAGCAGACCCGAATCCATTGGGGATGACACATCAACAACCACGGACGGCGGCCGGAGAGGATCCACACTGACCGGAGTCGATGGCGAAATACCATCTAAACCCTTCTCACCTTTGCGGAGTAGAACGGGGACTCTGTCCTGGCAGCAAAGGCCAACATCCCGTGATAGCAACAGACAATTTTTCTCATCATCTCCTTCCAGGTGGCGAGCCTTGTCCACAGCTTCGACGGATGAGCAGAATGTGAATCGGAACTCATCCGCAGCCTCACCCACATTCAAGGATGTTTCGTGGGCGCGCCAGACAGAAGGAAGCGTTTCCCCAACCCGCAGCAAACATGTGGAGGACGAGAGACCACGGACACCGGTTTCCGAAGCCAATTTCAAGCACCAAGAAGCCGAAAAGGAATACACCCCAGAACCTAGAAAGGACACCGATCACATAGAGAGCGTTGAGGGACGATCTCGATCGCCATCAAGAGCCAGTTCGACCTTTGCAGAAAGTAGTTTGGGCCACCGATACTCAAGCGTCTCTTCTGTCTCTACCGCGACAGGACTCGGCTCTCCGCTGCCTCTGTTAAGCGCGCAGAAGCTGGAGCCCCGTAAGCCCGAAGAGGTCTTAGAGGATCAGATGTCTCTTCCTGCTTCTCCAAGGCGACTTTCTCCGGAACGATCGACGTCACCGACAAAGGGTCTCGGCGGATTTGTGCAGAGCGCCATGATGAAGCGATCCGATAGTGTGTCGAAAAGATGGAGCGCCCAGCTTCCATCGGGTCTAAGCCGGCCAAGTTCGGTTGCTAGCAGCCGTAACAGTTTCGTCGGGAATGAGACCTTTTCAAACTCGCCCTCATATAGATTGAGCCGCGAAGTTCCAAGCCTCTCATCTCAGCGGCCGACTTCCAGCCATCGGCCTACATCGAGTCACCGGCCTGGTTCGAGCCATAGCGAGGCAACTATCATAGACCCTGCCAGAGACGGTGGACGACCGGCAACCCCGCCAGTTCCCATTCCCGAAAATCACGAGAGCAATGCACTGAGTGACGAGGGGGCCGCTAGGCCCCCTCTCAGCCTTCACACGCGGTCGGCTAGCTCTGTTGAAAAGGGCCCAGACTCAAGCTCTTTGCCTTCTTCAAGTCCAGTAGTCTCCAGGACCATGGATCCTAGGAGATGGAGTCCTACCAAAGCCAGCTGGTTGGAAAGTGCTTTGAATCGCCCTCCTGACTCGCCGAAGCACAAGAGGCAGCAGTCCTTTCAACAACCGTCATGGGTTAGGGAGAGGCAATTGCGGAGCAGTGTTGATCTGGGACGGACTTCCAGCTTCAAAGAAGTTACGCCCGTGGGGCTCATGCGAACGGCTGCTCCGGGCACTCACTCCAAATCATCAAGCGTGTCTGGAATTCCAAACCTCTTCTCTGGACCTGATATTGGCAAGGCCAAACCAGATGATTTCACCACCAATCTGTCCTCTACTTTGAAAGAGCCCGGCCTTGATTTCATTCCCCATGGGAACTTTCCAGAGGCCGAGCCAAAAGACAGCGAGCCGGCTGAACCCAAAGATGATCATGCGACATTCGAACCGCCTGATGATGTCCCCGCTAATGATGTCCCAACTCCTCCTTCTGAACTGAAGGACAGCGTAGTCGAAAGTCAACTCAAGGACGGACCGATATTTTTGCCCAATGACAGCCAGCCGGCTCACAGCCCTGAAGACAATGATCAAGCAGCGCCTCTGGAGGCGAGTGTGGAAGTCCCGCCGCTCGCCACAGCAGATATGGGAACAGAAGTCGCAGAAGACAGCACTATGAAGCATGCATTGAGATTGTCGACTCGAAGCCCTATTACCAAGACCGTACTTGACATGCCTCTTCCATCTCCAACTCGCGACCCGCTTCTAAACAGGCCCAAGCCACAACCAGCTGTGATCGATTTCCGAGCTAACCTTCGACGCCGCGAAATTGTCAAAGATGAAGCGCCTAAAGAGGAGCCAGAATTCAAGAACGTTTTCGGAAAGCTGAAGAGGGCGGGGGCATCGACCTATGTACCCCCCGATGACTTAAAAGAGAATATCTTAAAAGGCAAGGCGGCGCTCAGTACGACGAACGGTCCTCAGAAATCGCCAAAGATTGACGACTTGAAAGAAAGCATACTCAAACAGAAGGAAGCAATCAAAACTAATGGGGGCTCAACTAGGCGAAACACTGCCGGAGAAATGGACGCTCCCATGAACTTCGTCCCAGAAGCGATTGCAAAGAGGAACAACTTGACCAAGTCTATCAGTTCTAGAAGCAATCTATCCACCACTGACGCGCCATCTCCACGCTCGCCACTTTCGCCGCTATCACCTTATGAGCCGCCGATGTCTCTAGAACCCCAGGCTCTGAACCTTTCTCCTATTCGGCCGGATACCAATGTTAGCAACGAAGTGACTCACGATCTCGAAGAAACCGTCGAAGTATCTGAAACCTCGAAGGCTAGCTTTGACGGACATCAACTTGGAACAGAGAGCGAAGCAGCTGAAAAGGAGGTCAATTACAACAAGGTGGAATCTCCCCTGCACGTCGAAGCGGATTTGCCGACTCCAGAAGGTCAAGAGGAGGCTCAGGGCCATAGAGACGTCTCCTCGGCTCGTTCATCAGTTCATTCATCGGTGCGTTCCTCGGTGCATTCCGTGCAATCCTCAGTACGGTCGTCGGTGCGTTCTCTGTCTCCGGTGGAACTGGACCAGACTCCACATGCGCCTGCTGCGGCTGAAAGTACCGCTGCTAAAAGTAAACTTGCAGGCCGAATCAATCCTGCCTTAGCAGGACTTCTGTCTCGCGGGCCGCCTACCACTGGCAACGGCCCTGCCACGGGCCTCTCCATCACTAGCAGCCTCTCAACGGGAAGCTCAGAACAGCAGGAGCCACAAACCCCGGCCCCCCTCACGCACATGACGAAAGGCCGGGCAAGAGGTCCAAAAAGGCGTCTGCCCATTGGGCCGGCATTTGGATATAACGAATTGGCCGTAGCGACAGAGATTGCGGGGGAACACCCTAAAGATGGGGTTGCAAATGAACAAGATATCGAGGAGAGACTCGCAGACGAGAGAATCAGTGAGGAGAAAAGACTAGAAGCAGAGAAGCTCGCAGCAGAGAACCTTTATAAAGACAAGCTTGCAGAGAAGCAGAAGCTCGCAGAAAAGCAGGCAAGGCTCGCGGAGGAGCAGAGACTTGCTGAGGAGCAGAGACTCGTGGAGGAGCAGAGACTTGCGGAGGAGCAGAGACTCGTGGAGGAGCAAGCTAGGCT